GCTAGGCGCCCGCCTGTGCATCAGGAGATCGTGGGTTCGCGTCCTGACAGATCAGGGCTTTTTTTTTTTTTTCAAAAATCACATTGACTCCCAGGTCGACCCAGCTTTGAGTGGGACCAGATGGAGTCCTGGGAAGTAAAGGCGACCGGCGTGAGGTTGACCACATCACGTACCAAATGCCGATTGGTCTATACAAATGTAGGTGCAGCCCTATATTCCCAATGAGCCCAAAGGCGTGGAAAAGTGTGCTTACCTTTACTCCTTAGAAAATCGTTTCTTTCAGTTTTGGCATTCTCAGTCCTGGAGGGATCAATATTTAACACAACTGTATTTTATTTTATTCCGTTAATGAATTCATTCAATTAGCTTCTTTATATTTCTCTCCCTTTTGTTTTGTTTTTGTTTAAAAGTCTTGCTTTTTTTTTCGTTTCGTAAAATAGCCTTTTATGTTTATACGCCCCCCCCCCCCGCCCCCTCCCCCCCCCCCAAAAAAAAAAAACCGTATTTTTTGATTCCACAATGACATTGGTTGTTTAGACGCTCTGTTGTCTTGTCCGTAACATTTTCCAGTCACGTTTATGTTGTTTTTAGAATTCCGATGATAAAGATTTTCGTTAATGCGTTTGGGTATATTTCTGTGCATCTTTCCATTTCCTCCATTGAGCTATCTAGTGACATTTTTTGATGCATTTAGCTTTTAATACTGATTTGCGTCTTGTTATACATACCTGAGGCATCAAAGGTGGGAAAAGGGCCTTTATTGCTACACGACGCCCTGTAGATTTTTCATATAGGAGTTGGTGATTGCACTTACTTAGGTATAGGATGGTCACGCAGAAAGCTCAAACCACTGGCGGCATTTTTCGACAGCTGCTTGTATTGAGCCGATATTACCTGTGTGTGCGCGCGCGCGTTTGTGTATGCGTAAGTATGTATGTATTCATGCATGCATGTATGTGTGTATGTATATATGTTTGTATGCATGCATGTATATACAAAGTAAGTAAGAATGTATTATGCATTTATATACATATTTATATACTTTAAAATTTCAGATTGTACAAAACTATGAACACATACATACATACACTGTTTCTTCGAATCCTCTATTTGGTACTACAATGTATAACTTGTGTAGTGCATATTTATTTCTCTATACTAATGACAGTGGGCTCCCATTTGGGAGATCTGGGTTCTAACTCTCGGTAAAGTAATGGTTTAAACAAAAATGTTCAATTACATAGGGGCAAAAAGAAAATCGTAGCCTCCACCGTTATAGCAACTGTGCTGCCATACAAGTGCCATTACTGCCATACAATTGTCATTGCTGCCATACAACTGTCTTTACTGCCATTCAACTGTCATTACTGCCATACAACTGTCATTACTGCAATACAACTGTCATTACTGTCCATACAACTGTCATTACTGCCATACAACTGTCATTACTGCCTTACAAGTGCCATAAACTACCATACAACTGCCTTTTCTGCTATACAACTAACATTCAACTGCCTTACAACTGTAATACAACTGCCATTATTGCCATTCAAGTGCCATACAATTGCCATACAACTACCATACAAATGTCATTATTGCCATACAACTACCATACAAATGTCATTATTGCCATACAACTACCATACAGCTGCCATACAGCTGCCATACAGCTGCCATACAACTGCCATACAACTACCATACAACTGCCATACAGCTACCATACAACTGTCATTATTGTCATACAACTACCATACAACTGTCATACAGATACCATACAACTGTCATTATTGTTATTCAACTACCATACAGCTGCCATACAACTACCATACAACTGCCTTACAGCTACCATACAACTGCCTTACAACTGTCATTACTGCCATACAAGTGTCATGCAACTACCATACAATCGCAATTACCGCCATACAACTGTCAAACAACTGACATAGAACTGCCATAGGACTGCCATATTTACCTCTGTAGGGTTAAAAAAGGGGGTTGTGGAATAGGGTGTCAGTGAGACTAGTGATTTTGTGTAGCATGGCTAGCGCTGTTGCCATGCACTGTGCCGGTTAAGATTTTATTTTGCCTCTGACAGAAAAGGCATACCTAGGCTTACTTTGGATTCGAACTGGGATCTCTGGCGACTGCACTAGCCATACCCAGTCCTCAGGCTCGAGGTTACCCTATCCTGCAATACCTTAAAAAGTGGCAAATGCAGGTAGCATAGGTTCACGCAAATCACTTGAACCTTGGCTAAGTGGTTACACACGCGGTTTTACAATACCAACACACCACGGTCGACTCACAGTAGATCGCTCTGCCCTGATTTTAATGGCATGGGCGTCAAAGCATTTAAAAAGCAATGACAAACTACTGGACCTAACATTGCCAGGTATAAACCACAACCAGCTAACTAATGCCGGAATTGATTTACGACGTCTTGTGACGGATGTACAGTTAATGTTTGTTTTAACGTTCCAACACTTAAACAGGAGGTTATAGAGGGAACTAGCCTCAAACATCATTAGTTGCTCAATACAGTCGGAAGAACAGTAAAAACTAGACGCTATGCAACTCCAACAAAACAAATATACCACAAACGAGTGATAATTAACAGCCAATTCTTTCAAGGACGTTACAAAAACCACTGGCGGCAGAATGTGTTGGATGTGTGTTCTGGTACATGGCATTGTAGTTTACCACTCATAAGAATTCTTAGAATACCGTGAGTAAAAGGAAAAAAAGGTCGGCATCCTGCACGACCTGAAGATCATGGAGAACTGGCTTATAAACAGCATCCTGTCCCAAAAAACAGTGTTGTTTCGACTATATCAAGCACTATGGTGGTCTGGAGAGAAAGATTCAGAGGTTGGCCTCCAAGAAAGGTGGATAAAGGACACTGTAGATGCATTGGCTGAGAAAGAACACTGGGCTGGAGAACTGGCCAGAGAAAGATCAGACTTTGGAGGCGTGTCGTGAAGAGAGCGATGTTCTATAAGGAAATGCTGGTTGATTGACAGAGTTTACCATTGCGCCCCCTCCCCCACTCCCTAAACTGCACATGCTGGACATCATTGTAGAATTTAGTGCAAAGAGGCCTCTTCAATTACCCTGCAGCTAAATCGAACTGGGAATTTTAGAATTCATCATCATCATGTAGCAGGTCCTTTGCAGAACGTCACTCTCATCATGGTCTGCCTGAAAAAAACTCGGTCTCTCTCCAGCTCTCCCGCCTCATGCACTTTCATACTCACGGCGTCACTTATATCCTGTGTCCCATCTTCGTGTTGGTCGGCCCCTGCCCGTTTTTTCCTGATATCACGCCTTCAGCTATAATTTGTTTCCAACCCGTCGAGGCGTTGATATGACCAAAATATTTTAGTTTCCGATACAGGATGCTGTTTATTAGCCAATCTTCCTTGATGTTCAGATCTTTCAAATTTTAAGTATTTCTCCTATTCTTTGTCCAAGATATTATGATAATCTGTCTATAGCATTTCCGTTCAAAAGCCCATATTCTCTTTCCTAAGGACTGGGAGATAGTCATCAACTCACATCCGTATGTTGCTTCAGGGAAGATGCATGCTCTAAAAATTCATATTTTGATCTCCTTGCTAGTGCTTATCCATAGACTTTTAATGCTGTTTTAGAATTACAAATGATAAAACCACTGATTCAAAAATCACAGTTTGTATTACAATGTAAAGTGTATTATCCTGAATTTGAGGGCGAATTGCGGATTATGCAATATGAATATCGTCTGCACCAATTTGGCAGTCATTGACTACTGGGGCGATTATAACGTCTGATGTATTTTCTTACATTATATCCATGTACTCATTGTAGCCAGCCACATGGTGGGATCTCCAAATTGATGAATAAATATAGAAAGGCGATCTAATAGTGTAAATTTCATGGCAGTGTGTGTAGCACTAGTGAGGTAATCTTTGAAACAGCAGTGGACCCTTAAGTGAGCGTCTGTTTCGACTTTCTCAGTTGCAGTACCGCAGTTTGTCGTGGTATATGCAGGTCTTGTACCAGTCCGAATATTTTTAATTTACTCCTGTCCTACCGACCTACTCTATAATTTTTCTTTTTAAAATTCATTTTAGTAAAATTTGTCATGGATAAAGAATAGTTTTTTTACTATGTATGTTCTCATTGTAGCACTTGGTTTTGATGATCAGTTGGGTTGATTGCACTTCTGACATTGCAAAATATTAACTCCAGCAGTTCATTTATTCGGGCAGCGGTGTAGCGACTGCAGAATCGAAGTAGGCGGGCTCAAATACGAACAGTGCTGGCCTTTTTTTTTCTTCTTCTAGAAATGAGCTTGGTTCCCATGTCAACTCAGCCGTAAATCAGTACCAGGTAACCACCAGATACCACATCACACATCAAGCGCCGATTGCTCTACAAAATGTAGGCCTTGCTCCATATGCCCAATAGCTTGAAGGCCTGGAAAGTATTTTTTTTTTTTAGTTCTCTGATTAAAAAATGCTGTATTGGTTGACAATGTAATCTGTTAGGACCTCAGAAAGCATTTGAATAGAAGCTTCTGTTGCTTTGGGCGGAACCTTTCGAAAAGGCCAGGGACATGATTGACCTCAGTCTCTATAAAATGGAGACCACAATAACAAATTACTGTAGAGACATTCCAAACTGTAACAGCAGATGGGCAAAACAGTTTACACATGAATCACAACTAGTTCATCATTTTTGCTGTGTGCTTCAAGAAGTACATATTGTAAGACAGTGTGCATAATAAAGAATATCTCTAGCTCAGTGCTAGCATTCTTATCTTCCGCATATCTATAACGTATTTAAAATGTAGTTTATTGTTTACAGTTGTTTTAAAACCGTTTGCCTGTAAAACAAAAAATAAATGTATTTATTTAGAGCAGCTGGTGGTGAAACAAATGACTATTATGATATATTTTATATCGGCGTAAAAAAGATTGATGAAAAACATCGACGACTGTAAGTACATTAAAAAAAAAATGAATAATAATTACACAGAAATCGGTCTTTTGTTTCAAGGACTAGTCACTAATGTGCAATATACGTTCATTATGGAATTCTGTTCTGAAGCTGGTACAATATTGGCGTTTATCGGCATCATTTCAAACGTGATCAATATTAGAATTTTTTGTTCCATGGGTTTGACAGATGGCATCACCGTCTCTTTCCTCTCTTTGTCTATTTTTGACCTGGCGTACCTCATCCCTTCGTTTTCAATGGGAGTTTCCATAGGTTTAGGTGTTATTGAACTACGAACGCCCACGGCGTTTGTCATCGAACCTCAAGGAGTTTCTATACTTATGGCTAAAATTATGGTGCTTGTCAACATCACAAATGTACTGACAACAACATTTCTAGCAGTTGCTCGTTGCATGTGTGTAGCCAAACCACTGCATTTCAAAAATTGGTTCACTAAAAATAGAGCTCTTGGATTTATTCTTTCATTTGTTATTCTTGCCGTTGCCAGCTACGCACCTGTTACTGCTTATGTTGGCATCGTGACACAGTTTGACGTTATGAAAAATATCACCAGGCCCATTTTGTGGGTGTCTCCCAAACGGGAATCAGTCAAAGTTATCGCCTGGATAATTAAGGATTTGATTTTGCCATTTGCTACACAATTCATCGTTGTAGTCTGTGTTGTTATCATGGCCAGCAGCCTTCGAATCTCGTCCAGATTCAGACAATCTGCCGTACTGACGTCAGAGAAAGCATCATCTGCGTTGGATTCAAACTATAATTTCACTGTCTCCAGTACATTGACTGTACCCACAGACAAACTTTCTAGAAAAGACGTACGTGTGGTTCAGCAAGTAGTCCTGATATCTGTAGTGTACATCGTTTGCAACACACCGAAGATGGTCATTAGCACGGCTGTCGTCACGGTGCCAGATTTTACAATTGGCAAACGGTACAGTAACCTCTATTTAGGGGTCATTGCCCTAAGGCATCAATTTGAGATTTTAAATGATGCAGTTAATACGTTTATTTACTACAGATACAATACTAAATTTCGGACAATACTTCTCTCTGCATTAAAGAGAATGAGACGATAATAGGAAAGAAAAACACTGTATGCCACCAAATAAAGGAGATCATAGGCAATAAATCACTGTCATTGGGGGATTCTAAACAAAAAATTCGTGCATAAAACAGACATATTTTCAACATAAAGCTGTTAATGTTGGACAATTAATAATTAGGCATGGTGTCCAATTTTCAGCTAGCAACCCGGATAAAAGTGGAGGGCGATGGTGAAAGGGATGAGGAAAGAAGAAAAAGTTAACACATAAACAAATAAATAAAGAAAGAAAGAATTAACTGGCTCTCCAGAGATGTGTTTGACAGAAAAATGCTTAAAACATTATTTACCATAAATGTCAAAGTGAAGCTGATATATTTGCTGGTCACATTGTAAAATTGTGTTTTTTAAAACCTGTGAAAACTGAAAATAATGAAACAAATAATAATGTAACAGTGCAAAAGTCTCTTTATTATTGATGAAACACGTTACGACGAAGATGAGTGGTAATCGGGGGTGAGGGGGGGGGGGAGAGGCCAACCTAATACTGTATCACAATTACCTGTGTAGATTAATTCTGACTAGTAGTTATGGTTTAAAAAAATTATTATCTGACGCCAGCTAGGCTGCGATATCTGACCCAAACTCTTCAGTCTTCGGTAGTATAGTAGTAAGTATTCCACCCTTCAATCGGGTGATCGGTGTTCGATTCCCCCGCCATTTTCGAGGGTGGTAAGACTGGGTTTTCCGGCTTTCTGATACTTTTAACGAACCCTAAACATATAGAACTGGCCATAACCCCAACCCACCTACGTCCCACGAGAGAGTGCAGCCTCCCACGAATGCATGCAGCCTAGGTCCCACGATTTCATGCAGCCCATCTACCACTCCCTGAAATATTAGACTGTACCGTGACCTAAGGATTTCTCCTGTTCGGGGTGGTATAATAATAAAGCTCCCAGTTATGTGAGGATTTAGGATTGATGATAAAAGCCACTTTTTATTTTGAATAAGTGAAAATTCGCAGGAAAAGAAATCCTCACTGATCCCTACAGAAGAATAACATAATTTACATGAACATTTAGGCAACAGTGTTGGGCATTTAAAAACAATAACTGAAATACATTTCTCTAAGTTAAAAATATTAAAACCAGAGAGCTCAGAAACTTGGATATATTCAAAATGTTTTTGTTTTCGAGGAGGTGTGATTGTCCTATACCATTGCTTGCGTTTTGGCAACAGGGTTCAAGTTCACTACTGCAAAATTTATATTTCGTTAAAATATTGAAAGGAAACAACTGTAAATAATACGGTACTAGTATATAGTATTTGTTTTACTGATCGAACGCATCAACAACTGACGCTAATCAGAGACCAACAAAATAACAAATAATAGCAAGAGATCGTTATAATGTTCAAAACAACTGGGATACTTAACTAAAGAAAGAAAGGTCACATTCCCATCCTACATTTCTCTTCTTACTAAGATGTAGTATAAAAATGTTGATTTCCGGAAAAGGAAATGCAGAATATATGTTATGTGTGTGTATGGTGTGTGTGCGCGCGTCTACGTTTGTGCATATATATGTGTATTTGTGGATTCAAGATGCGTGTATGAGTGTGCGAATAAATATGTACGAATTTATGTCTACGCGGTAGCTCCTGGTCAAAGCCGCGAGGATTAAATTCGTCGGTCCATTTTTGATGCGGTCCAACTGCATTTTGTGGTACTGCACTATTCACGCAGCTCTAAATCATCAGGCTACACCACCCTAAAAATGGGTAAAATAAACAGTGGTTACAATCCATATATGGAAAGTTTGAGGTCTGGTGTCTCCAATTTCGGTTGATTCCAAAGCTCCTCAGGCCGCTGCTCATATACGAAGTTAGCAAGACAGCAGTGGAAACCATGGAGTGGAAAATCAACACAGCCATGAGAAAATGGCTTACGTCAGATCGATGTGGTTCTGTATTGTAAACAGGCTAAGCTGGTACTTCTGTTCAAGTCGATAACCGAAGAGTTTAAAGTCGGCAAAGTGAGACTCGCGATGATGCAAATGATCACTAAAACAACTGGGAGAAACTGCTGAAAGAGCTTCTAGCTGGCACTGAACGCAGCGAAACGTAGTGGGGGACGGGCCTCGGTAGAATGGTCCGAGTCCCTAGTGGAAAAGAACGACTTATCCCGTAAGAGCCAAAGTGTCTGAAATGTCTGCCAATATTTTTCTGTCGACTAACACTTTGACTACCAAGTCTAACATCTGTCCGATAAACCAACCGAAAGCTTTTGACTATGGTCGTGAGGTATTCGACTGATCTAACTTACTACCGCAGCGACAATATCAATAATTCTCACAACACCTGTTACAAATCACCATATCGTCTTGTCCCTGTCCGAGAACATCCGGTAAAGCACAGCGGGGAAAAATCGAG